AAAAACCAGCTATGTGCAAAATGTGGTGCAAAAAGCTGTTGCTGAGGCATTTTCAACCAAATCAGAAAGCAAATTTCTGGGAAATCTCTGGATGATTGCATGAAGCACAATTCTGCTCCATAGTATGGATGCAGTCCAGAAAATTAGAGGTAGAAAGGAGAAAGACTGAATTTTTAAAGGAAATATTACAGTTTGAATTCAATGATGATATTGAAGAGAGCATTTTAAAATTATTTTTTGAGATTGCCAAAGGTGATTGTTCAAGTGTGGACAAGTTTGACAAAATCAGAGGCTTCCTGCAGTAGGGAAGTACTCTGCCTGGCTTTCAGGATGTTTAGGTGCTGTTCCTGACTCTTGCATTGGCTGCAACTGCAGGGTACTGAATCTGTCTCTCTTTACTTCTCACGTCCTAGGTTAACAGTGATTAAATACGTAGGCAATACACGAGAGATCCTTGGCTAGAGCAGGCTATCACACCTGACACCAGACCAGATGGGCTTATTTCACTCCTACATTTAGAATTACTTACTGTTAGATATGCTTCAGAGGAGGGAAAAAGAAAAAGGGAAAAAAAAAAGTGATTGTTACCTCCTTCGTCTCCACTGCCACAGCTATTTGGTCTGCACATGCTGTACTTCGCTGTATTAGCTCTTCCCTAAGCAGAACTTTTGGAAACATCAACAACCAGCTTTTCTTTTTCAGGAAGTAGATGGAACAACAGAACTGGCAGCATCTCTGTGGTAACAGCAGCTGTTCAGCATGCTTTCCCATTGAGACAGGTCTTTGTCCCCTCACCACCCTAGCATCCACCCTCTGCTCACTCTGCACTCTCTCCACTAAGAGTCCACTGCAAGAGTGCACTCTTCTTGCACTAACTTCCCAGTCCTCAGCAGAACAAATGAGCAGTGAGATTCCTGGCAAAGCACAGAAGATAAAGGTGTCAAGAAGAGGTCCATGTCTTTGGTGTCTGCTGGAAGCTAAGATGACTTCTGGATCCACGTGGCATTACTGCAGTTTTCTGGTGTTGCTGCAGACAAGAGGAGTTTGTCTGCTCTGTGGCTGCCAGCATTTAACAGCAGATCTGAGTTCTTGTCCTAGGGATTTTCATGTGGACGGTAAGGACAAGGCAGCCCAAGTAGTGTTCTTGAAGTCTTAGAAGGTAAGGAACATGTAAAACCCCTCAATTTTCAGTTTCAGGTCACTGGTTGTTCTGTGGAGAAGCCTGTGCAAGGTCTGCAAACTAATTACGTTTACAGGGTATTCATCTCTACAATGAAGTTAATCTTTCAAGCAAGATAAACCAAGAAAGTATGGTCATTCCTGCAGTTCTGTGGGGATGGAACTGTGTTAGGAAATTGACATTATATGATTGATCCTGGGGCGTATGGATTCTTGTACTTTTGGGCTCTTTCCATTATTAGTTTGAATTCTAGCAGCTAGAATAAAAGTCCTGAATATTTACCTGCTGGGATGCAGACTGATGGTAGCTTGAAATAGAATTAGGGTAGTGAGCTGCCCTGGGCAGCTCAATTGGAGTATTAAGACATACATCTCAGGGAACCTCAATGTCTATTAGCAAAAGTGTATGGCAGGATGAGGTGAGGTGAAGGCAGCCACCTGGAGTCTGAATGAGAACTGAAGGCCACTTGGGAGCACCTGAAGCTCTCAGATCCCCAGAACCCCTCTCTGAAATAATGTATTTCCACAGTGCAGTTGAGGTAGATAGGCTAGGAGCTCAGCTTCCATGCCGATTGAAGTGATCTTTTCTCTCCTGAGGTTTCTAGTCCCCAGCTGCCTCTGGGAAGAAGGGAGACCCCAGGGCTGCAAAGCCATCACAGAGCTTCCAGTGCTCAGAAGTGGGATTGCTGGTGGACCTTTGTGCAAATGCCTGAATCTATGTATTGTGTCACCTCTTTTCAAAAGGGACATCATCCTGTTCCTGTGATTTTCTAGCTGTTTTTTATTGCTTTGCTATGAGGACAGACGTAAGTCAATAAACTTGCTGATAGAGGTTGTTTGTTGAGAAAGCAGAATAACAGTTTTATTCAGTGACTGACCAAGTTAGAGGCAAGAAGGAACACAAATGTTAGTACAAACTGATCTGACAGCAGATGCTTGCTGCTCTGAACATTGCAGCAGAAGTGATGTTGAAGTGAATGTGCTTCATGATTTCCACGTATAGAAGAGTACAATGTCCTTGCTTTCAAGGTAGAAAAACAAGTGAAGGAGTGCAACGTGAGCAAAGCATGAAGTGGCTCCTCTCCATGGTAACATGTTGAATAAGTAACATCTATTTGGTGGTAAGCCATATAGGATGCTCTTGAGCCCCACAGGAAAAAAAGCACCTTGAATAGTTCTCTGTGCGTACTCTGAGATAAACAACCAAGCACACAGTGATGAGACACTTCCAGATTGTGATTCAGAAAATGTTTGAGTTGTGGGGTGTTACTTGTCTCTGTATGGGAGTTGTACTATCATATCAGATATGCTTTCATCTTTAAAAAAAAAAAAATACTAGCTCTTAAAATGAAGAATATTTTTAAAAGTGTCCAGGTAGCTCATCAAAAAGACCTTTAGCTTTAATGAAACATTCAGATGTTATCTTCATATTTCAGTATATTGGACCTAAAACAAGCTGACTATTCTCATGTGATAGCAATATGAGAATAATAGGAGAAGCCAAGAAAGGCGAATATTTATCCTGTTTCTGATTTCTGTGTAGACTTATGTGTATGTATGTAGTAGATTGAGAGTCTTTTGTCATGTGATGGGAGGATTGGCCCTCCCCTCATGGGAAACTGGCAGAGAAGTGAGAAGGACGAGCTTGACTGAGATAAAATAATTTACTAGAAAAGGTAAAATATTGTGATATAATACAATACAAAAGAAATCAAGATTAATAAACCAAAGAAATGAGAAAGGAAATGTCTCCTAACTGTACTGCAAGGCTTGGTGGGTGGAGCCAAAAAGGGGCATCCTTCTGTCATTAACTCACTTTGTCTCTCCCTCCTTCAGAGGGCTGGAGCACCTCTCCTATGAGGAAAGGTTGAGGGAACTGGGCTTGTTTAGCTAGGAGAAGTCTCCAAGGAGACCTCATTGTGTCCTTCCAGTGCTTGAAGGGAGTGTATAAAGAGGAGGGGGAACAGCTGTTTATGAGGGTTGACAGGACAAGGGGGAATAGCTTTAAACTGAGACAGGGGATGTTTAGGTTAGATATTAGGAGGAAGTTTTTCACACAGAGGGTGGTGAGGCACTGGAACAGGTTGCCCAAGGAGGCTGTGGATGCCCCATCCCTGGAGGCATTCAAGGCCAGGCTGGATGTGGCTCTGGGCAGCCTGGTCCGGTGGTTGGCGACCCTGCACATAGCAGGGGGATTGAAACTACATGAGCATTGTGGTCCTTTTCCATCCAGGCCATTCTGTGATTCCTGGAAACCACTTAAGAAAGACTACAGCATTCTGGGGACTATCGTTCCTGCAGTTTTCCCATGGTTCTCCCTTAGCAGCTGTCTCAGTTCTGTCAGTTCCGTGCATGATGTCATGATATAGAATACACATAGAAAACCATGACAATATACCTCTACAGTGTACACTTACCTGTACGCTGTACCAGTTACTCTGTACACTTGTGTATCTGTTAGGATTTTCCTCTGATTATTCAATCACTCCAGGAAAAAGCCCTAGGGAATGGATGCCAAGAAACAGCAAGGCTAGACAGCATGATTTGTGGTGACTAAGGCAGTAGGCCACTCTGTACAAAGAGCCAGCACCATTCAGAAGAGCTAAGCAATGAAGCTCTGATATCTGCAGGTATGGCAATGGAGGACCATCAGAGGGGGAATCTAAGTACAGCCAACTTGTGATGGTGTTTTCTGACCCCTTCCCTCAGGTAGCTACTTAACAGTATCCCTTCAAAAAGGAACAAACTAGAAGGAGAAAAGAACGGGGGAGAGAGAGTGGTACTCCTGCTGATAGTTCAGTGTTTGTATGTGCATCCATCTGAGGGTGAGCACTCCTTTCTGAATCACTTTGTGAAACATAACAGCTGGTTCATGCTCTGTCAGAAGTATTAATGGAAAATCAATGATTGCCAAAAGGAGTAGGAAAAAAAACACTAAAGCAGCACAAAATGGTGTTGAAGTGGAAATGTTCAAACAATAGAGAATAAGCTAAATTGCAAAAAGTGCTTGAGAGTTTGAATGCCTTTTTTAAACACCAAAGACTCAGAGGCAAAGACTACTGCAGTTAAAGCTCTGGGATGTGGATAGCTGCAGAAGAAAGGCAATTTTGTATAACTGTTAGAACGAGAAAAGTTATTGTTCCTTTTTCAAAGTGTAGACCACCAATGTCATTTAAGTATATAGAATATTGAGATAAAAACGGTCGTTCAGTATGTTTGTCTCATTTCTGTGTTAGCCTGAGTTTGTAAAAATGTCTTTTTTTTTTATTATAAGATTTCAGCTTGAATTTCTTCCCATCAAGGTTGTCATATTTTCTGAAAAGCGAGATGATAAAGGTATGTATTATGCTACATAATATATATAATATACATTGCGATTAATGTACACCAGAGTTTGTACTGAACAGCTATTGTCATTCTGTGAAAATTACTGAAAGCACTAAACATATTTTCTGAACTTAATTCTTAACTAATTTTTCTAGCTTTGTGGGATTGTTCTTTGTTAAGACTGACCAATAATCTGCAAAGCACAGTAGCAAAGCAGATCTGCGAAAAGATACGTATACATTTTACTTTGCACTGTACTGTGGTGCGCTTACCTTTCTTAAAAATATGTATTTTAGAATAGATGTGCATTAAATAATGAAGTGTTTCAGAAAACATGTCTGAGGACAGGAATAACTGTGCTCCCTTCTATATTTACAAAATAGAAAATTATTTTGAAAGAAAGACTTTGTACATGCAAAACAGTCCCCAAGATATATTAGTTGGTTCTGCTCCTTGCCCTGTAAACTTCTGCCTTAATTTTCAGGCTGAACTGACCTTGCACAAACTTAGCCAACCTGAGCAATCTTCTTCCAGATGGGTGCTTCATTATTTAAGTGATACTGCACTGTTAAGCTCCTTCAGAAATGGCCATGCCAAGCACGTCTGGTCCTCAGATCCTTATCTCCTGTAAGTAGAAAACATTGTACAGACAGAGAGCTGATTCCGTTAGCTCGGGGGAGATTCACACAGATTTGAAATGTTAATCATTGCAGTTCAGAACACACTAAAAACTTCTGCCCTGAAAATGGTCCTGCTTCATGTATGAAGTTGTTTAAATGTTCACGATATTAAATATTTTTGTTAGATTTGATGACAAATAAGCTTTAATCATTTCAGTTTTTATACTGCACTTTTTTTTTTTTATTTTAAGCAGAACAAAACAAGTTCTGCACATTCATATTTCCAAGTTACACTGTGCTACCATGTTATGAATGAGAGACTTCCACCCCTTTCCTTCTGTGTTTATCCATAAAAAGAGAAAGTCAGCTGAAGCACCCAAGAAAACTGACTCTGCTCAAGGAAGACGACAAGCAGAAACAGCTCAGCTTAATCACTGCATGCTGCATAATGAGAGGATTTTAAAATAACATTTAAAAAAACTTACTATGGCTTCTACACAGAGCAGGGGGAATTTATAGCAGCATTTGTTTCCCACCTAACTTGACGATTGTTAGTGAGTTTCACTTTCCAGACAGAAGCATGTTCCTGGAGGCAAGACAGAGGCAGACCCCCAATCTCTCTCTCTCTCTCTCTCTCTCTCTCTTTTTCTTTAAAAAAAAAACGAAACAGCTTAAGAATTTCACACCTCACTAAGTGCCAAATTTAATTTGCTATTTTTTTTATAAAGACTATTTGCACAGTGAGGAGGCTGTTGGTTTAAGCAGGGCCTGAAAGACTTTGAGCATTTAGAAGCGTGCAGCAGAGCATGCCAAATTAAGCTGGTAGTCTAAGTGCAGGGAGTTTCTTTGATTTTTCACTAATTTATTGCATGTGTAATTATTTAAAGAATTACACATGGAGCTAAAAGAAAATTCTCTGATCTGACTGGGAAATGATCCATTTAAGCTTAACAAGTATGTATGATACTGTGACAGTTACAGAATCACAGTATAGTTAAGATTGTAAGGGAGATCTTCTTCCCCACTCCCCTCCATCAAAGTTATCTGAATGAGAACTTTTCTAATGGCGTGAAAGATATTTTATACATTCCTGTGTATGTGACTGTTTGGGAGGAGTTTTCTTCATTAACAGACTGTATTTACAACTTTTGACATTTTGTTATTTGTTCAGTCAGCAACTTCCATTATAGTCTCTGCTCCTCCATATCAATGTGTATCTGAGGTGATCTTCAGGTTCCAGATAAAAGAGACTACAGTGGTGTTAGAGAAAACATTTCTGATTTGTGGATCTACTAATATGAGTAAGCGAACTAGGAAAGAAGGAAGTGGACAGCGTATGAGACATCTCCCCAAAAAGACATAGGAAATGAGAGTCAGAGCAGAGAAATGGATCAAAACTCAGGAGTTTAACTACAGCCTTCTACCTGGTACCAGTGTTGTCTGCACCCATGGTGCAAGCTCTTCTTTGCTTTGGAAGAACATTCCAACTTCTTGTTAAAATCTACTAGTCTTTTCTTTTTGAGTAAGTAATCTCATATTGTAGATAATGACCATACTAAGATATTCTCATGTGTATTAGTAAATTAGGCCTATGCATTTGATGATCCTTGTGGGTCTCTTTCAGCTTAGGATGTTCTATAATTACCAAAGCTATGGAATAACTATTTAGCTTTGTGTAAAATCTGCCTAAGATTTGTTTGAGCTTTCAACAACCACGTAGCCACAGTCAGCTTGCCACATACTTAATATCATGCTCACCCAACTGGTTATGGGAGAACTGGATTAGGATTATGCTAACACAGCAGTGTTGTTTCACTTTGTCTCACAATGTGGACAGACCTGGTGCATCATTTTGTGGAGATCAAATAGCTGTATTTGTGGGGGTGCAGTTGCAGGTATTTCCATGAGAAGAGAGCACCAAAACTGCTTGTCTCTGTGTGAAAGTGTATTTCAGAGATGAGACAGGCTACTGGTATGAGGAAAAGAGAGCAGAAAGCACACGTTACTTGCCTTAATAGCACTGTCAAGAACTTTTGGCTTTCCTCCTTCAAAAGCATTTGAGAAGCAAACAGAGGGGACAGCTTAAAATAAAAGTTGCTCTAGTGGGTGAGATGTGGAGGCAGGTCATCCTCAAGCTGCACTTTAATTGTATCACGATGGATTATCCCCCATCTGACACACTCTTAGCTCTTTAAAAATCCAAGCACAAGATGTTTAGCTTAAAATTATTTAACAATATTTTTATTCTGTTAAGATCTTTTTTTCCCCAGTGTAAGTAAATATGCTTAGCCCCCAGCTTGTGCTGCTGCTGCCTTGCTGCTGGAATGCACAGAGTAACTCTTTTGTTTCAGGTGGAACCTTGGTAGTGCATGAGCCTATTACTGGAAATTTTGAGAGTATGTTTTGCATCAGAAATCTTTATTCAGTTAATTCTGTTGTGGACCTATTAAGAACCAATTCTTTAATACTTACTGAAGCAAAATTCTTTTTGAACATGTCAATGGAAAACAACTTCTGCCACAGGTTTACAGTTGCAACTGGAGTGAAACACATCCTTATGCCTGTTTAATCTTCTGCAGAAATAACAGCAACCAAAAAATACCAAACAAACCACCTGCACTTAATAGGAATTCAAAGACTTTTAAAAAACATAAATAATTCCTATCTGAAACTGTGACAGGGTTTTACATCTAGAAATGCTTTTTCTTGTGTATTAGAAGTACCCAGTTTTCAGGGCTAATCAATATGAGCTGTGTGAACAAAGGGTGATACTTGACCATAGTGGAATTCATCCTCTAAGAGATGTAACATGTAACACCTCAACAAACCGGGATTTAACAGTTCATGCATAACAGAGTATTACATAACAGAGTATAAATAACAGAGTATTAAATTTTACCCTAAGTGCATTAAAACTATGATCATAGTTTGAATAACAAAAAACAACAAACAAACAAAAAAACAGCAACAACAAAAATTAATGAAAACTGCTGGTCACAGATGTAACTGTATTGCTGCACATGATGGGCCTGAGTTTCTGCTCAGCTTCTACTTGAAAAATAATATTCTTACGCCTAACTAAGTTTATTGCCTCTTCTAAAATTCCTTTAACAAAATATCCCCCATGTCCAATTCTTTTTCTTTGTGAATGATATCTGCCTGTTCTAAACTTCTGTTTTCAGTTGGGACGGTTTTAAAGCAGTATTTGACTTGTCTGAATTAAGCTGCCCATAGTTCTTGATCATCTGTGACAACTACTTGTCTAACTACGCTGCATTCAGCTTTGTCAGCGTATGTGGTTTGCACACATATTCAGTAGCTGTGCTGTTTTGTGTCAGCAATGCTGGAAGTAGATGTTACCTGCTAAAGAATAGCTGTGGTGGGGAAAAGCAGAAAGGGCATTAAGACTTACCTTTCTTGGCACAGATATCTCCACAGTAAACTTGTTTTATGTTGCTAATGTAGGTTCTTGAAGCAAAACTTTAGCCCTTGTTAAAAGTAGTAGTTCTCTGAATTATCTGGTTAAAACACAAATGTATGAGCTCTGATGCACGCAGAATGGCTCTGCTCATTGAAGTAGTGCAAAGCAAATGATTTTTTTTGATAATCAGAAACTGATCCAGTGCATGTTGTCCAGCTCTGATCTGAAGGTGCCTTGGTTGCAGTGCGGGGACAAACACCTTTAACAATCTTTTGCAGAGAGCACCTTTAGAATGTTTTTCCTGGGAAGTCAGTGAACAAATTTCACACTTCCAAGAGCCCCCTGCTGCTGAGAGGATTGCAGTGCCCCGGTGCTACTAATAGTCACAACGGGAGCTTTGCAAATTAAAATCACCCTTTTTCTTTTGGTGCTAAATGGGGACTTTCAGAAGTACTGCAGTGTTACTTTGCACAAGAAGACTTCTAACGCCACTATACGATTAGAAATATTACAAGTAGACAATATGAGGGCGTTTTGTGAAAGTTTTCTAAAGTATGTTGCCTTTCTGTTGCTCTCAGGTGCTTGTGAACAACCATGTTTGCTGTACCTGAATCTTCACACCTGCACATTTAAAATCAAAACTTCAAAAGTTTGCTTCACTTCAAATATATCAGTGAAAAGAATTTAGCAGTATTTTGGTGTCACTGAGAGCAAAGTAGCAGCCTTATGTAATTCTTAATTTTGTTCCATATTCTTTTAAATTACATCTGCATTCATTTACTGTATACTTATCTTCCCACCTGTAGGATCTGCAGGCTTTTAATTCACAGCTTCTTTTTCCTGCTTTTAACATCAGAAGTTGGCAGGCATCTTCTTGTGATCTTTCTTTTATTTTCCTCTCCCATAAAGGTGCTGGTACTGCTCATTTTTCAGTAGCAGTAATTTCCTCAGTTGAGTAGTTACCAGAAATATCTAATATTTTGCTTATTCCTTATTTTATAAGAAGAGACAAAGCACAATGCAACTAATAAATCTGAAATTGGATTAAGTATTTAAATATTGTATTATTATTATTATTATTATTAGAGTATAATTTATAGAAAATATCCATCAGTCTTTGCCCAGTATTCCATTCATCTGAGAGATTGCTGAAGCAGTTACTCTCCTCTTTTGAGTAATGGTTCCACAGGACACATTCTGCAACACTCATTCTCTGAGTAGTGCTTTACTTTGCCTGTCATTCATCCAGCTATCAAAGGCAGTGAGAATCAAACCTTCTGCTAACATACGAAAGCTTTACTACCCAGAAAAGTGTCAGCTTTTTTTTTTTATTTATTTGTTCAGAATTTTTCACTTACTGCCTTCTAGGTCAAATGATAAGTATTTGGAGGCAAAGTGTAGCTTCAAAGTTCTCTTTTGTAAGGAACCTAATTATGTAGCTTGTCCCACTAGAAAAATATTTTTGATCAAGACAGTTTACTGCATCATATTTCTCAAAGGATGAACCTACTGAAGTTCTAAGCTGTTTTTCTTCACTAGTCTGATTCATCTAGTGAAAATGGGGGAAAGTACACTTATCTACAGTTATCAGGGCCCCAAAGGCAGTCAATGAAAGCTGAGAAATTGGCTTCTTCTGTTGCTGACTCTCTTTAGGAAACAGCTTCTGCTTCTCTTAAAAAAAAAAAAAAAAGAAAAAAAAAAAAAAAAAAAAGGTGTTTTTTTTGTTTGTTTGTTTGTTTTTTGTTTTTTTTTGGGGGGGGGAGGAAGGTTGAAGGGTGTTTTTGGTTTTTTTTTAAAAATAAACTTTCAGATGAGTACATAACTTAACAGATGAACCAATATTCAGTGACGTATTTCATCCCCAGCTTCTTTCTTCTCTAACACTTCTAATAATCCTAGTTAAGACAAATGCATTTAATGTTTTCTCTTAGAAGTAAATCTGCAGTAGCAACTGTCCTTGGCTAACACTTTAGGAAAACAGGCATTTTAAATTTCTTTGCATCTTGCATTAAAAATATCATAACAGATAGAGCAACAGAGAGAATTTTTCCTTAGGTATGCCCGATCTGCTTGCTTTCGAAGAGCTGTTATTGCCAGAGGTCCAAAATGGGCCAAGTCAAATTAGCACTAATTAGCACTTCAGCATCAGTTGTGCTGTAAATAGTGCATTTACCGCAACTTACTACTGCCTCATTGTGGTAGCCTGTGAATAAATCCACAAGCACCTAGCAGATGCTCAGACTTTTAAGGGATATAAACCGTGCCATTAACTAGGTAGCCTAATAATCCAGATTTATGAGAACACCTGATATGATAATTTTTAAAAATATATATATATGTACTACTTTCTGCTGCCATGGTGTGTGAATAAAGCATTAAAACTGAGACTGCAACTACACATGGCACAGGGTTAATTGGCTTCTGTTTTCTAAAACATTGTTCAAAATTTCACTAAATTCTATCCAACAATTTCTTTATCATAAAGCAATTTATAGTTGCTTTATATAGTTATACTAGCTTATATAGTTTATAAACAAGCATCTAGAAGTTTTATTTACATGAAAGGGCTTCTTTGCTCAAGCTTCTCCCTGCATGCTTGCCCAGATCCCCCCTCCCATTTAAAAAGCCTAGAGTGAAGGTGGTGGAAAAGAAATGATGTGGAGAGTCTCTTCACAAACCAAGGGGCTGCACATTCTTTTGCAAAATTCAGTGATGCTTCTCTTTGGCTGCATGAACAGCTGTGGCAACAGCCCTAAGCAGGAGGAAGAAGTGTGGATACAGTGGCAGATGAGATGGAGCAGGAGAGAGTAGACAGCATTTGGTTGAGCAGTTGGATAGGGATGAATTTAAAGCAACAGAGATTTGGCAGGAGGGTTTTGAAAATGGTCAGAGCATGGAATAGAAATAGTAGCATGTCCCATGATGCTGACAAAAGACCACTGAAAGCCTGATTGGAAAGAGCTGCATAAGGACTCTTAAAGATGTTTAATCTGAACAATGTTTCTAATGCTAATGAGAGTGGACATGCTTTCTAGGACTACTCTAAGCTTGTTTTTATGTTTTAATCATACTAAAGTTTTTGACAGCAAGAAAACAAATGAATTGCCTCTGCCTCCTCCCAGGAACCATGACAGAGAGAAGAGCTTTGATTTTCTCTGATTTAGAAAACTGTTAATGCCCAAATATTTAAAGGAAAAAAAAAAAAAGGTTCTTCTAATGCATCATCATAAAGAACTACCTCCATTTCTTTCAGTGAACATCTTATGCAAGGGAATGAAACCTTTCAGTAGTAAAGCAAGAAAATTGCCTTGGAATGGATAAGTTCACTGGTCATCCATCTACTGCATTTTAAAACAGTAAATGGTCTTTCTGACATCTCTTCCCACCAAATATCAGTTCTCATTTTCAGAGACTCTGTCTGATAATTGTATACATTAGGGAATGCTGCTTAGAAGTAATAAAACATGCTACGGATGTGATGAAATAAAATTAATCTATAATGCCATGGAGGAAGCATATGTTGAATGCTTCTCCCAGGGATAACGGGGGTATTTAATCACCGAAGCTTTGGGTTTTGGCCTTTAAAGTGTTTGATTACATACATTTAAGAGTCCTAGCCCCTAGGGTATTACAAAGAAGTTTGGAAAGGTTGGGGCTGGATTGTTGCACACTGCCGATATTTATTGGTTCTGATATTCACTAAAACTTAAATAAAAAACATTAAATATCACACTTGGTGTTTATAATTTCTGTTGTGATAAAGTCAGAAAAAAAATGGCTTTTTTGTTTCTGAATTTTAACTGTGAAAATGATAATATGAGAGATGATGACGATTCAGTATTGTATTTTCACTTCTCTTGACTATGAGTAGCATTACCTGCCTGCCTTAGTGTTTAAAGAAGTTTTGCTCTCTGGTTATTATTGTTATTACTCCTACTTTCTCACACAATACATAAGACCAATTTGGCATAAATTCTTTACATAAATGCTATTTTAAAATGCTACCAGGGCTAAAGATCGATCTTTTCCATGATCCTTGGTGATTCTATGATTCATTAAATCCTTCTGAGCAGCAACATCCAGGAGGGTTTAATGGAGCCACCATTAAACACAAACATTGAGGAAGATGGAGAAATGCTTCTGTGTATGATGCCTGCAGTGTAGAAGGGAACAGAGCAAGGAGAACTTCTGTAATTTACTATCATATGAAAAAAAAAAAAGAATTAAAACACATCACTTAAACCAAAGCCCAGTAAAACCTGTGGGAGGCTTTCTGTTAACTTCAATGCTCACTAGGCCTGGTCGATAGATTTCTAAAATATAAAGCTTTTCACGTTGTGTGTTGAAGAGATTTTTCATGCAGTGGACACGCAGAATGAAATCTTTTATTCTCCCTTTTTCCCGGATTTGTCCTTGAAGAATACTCCAGAGCTGAATGTCGCTTAACTTTGCGCAAAGTTGGATTCTAATCTGAACTTTGAGAACAGAATCTTCCTGTTTGTTGTGACATGTAATTTCTTTCTCATTTGCTACTCTTTTCTTGGTTATCTGCAGGACAAAGGATTCTGAACCTCATATAGAACTGCAGATGGAAATGGACCATGAGGGCCCATTTCTCTCTACCACATCAGAAGTGCTTGCTGCTTCCCTTCTGGAGTCACAGTTGTATGTGCGGAGTTGCTTTTAAACACAGATGCCGGTGAGTGTAATTTTTTCTCAGCATGAATGTGCAAAATAGAATAACTAGTAAAAAAAATTAAGATCTGTGTTTCAGGTAGTTAGATATGAAGACACCAGCATGTTGGTGTAGCTTCCTCATTGATTTTGTCACCTGTTATTTGGCTTCCTAAATTCTTCTTTGAACCAAGCACTTACATATGGAGGTACGTAAATCAAAGACCACAACAACTGTGAGGATATGCATTCAGTGCTACCAGAGCCCCTTGGGGACTACATCAGTGATGTGAGTGGTTCAGAAAAGTGGAAGGGTTCTTTGCAGTACCACACGTGGAGCCAGGCAGGAGCAGGGCCCAGCCTGTCCACAGGGGAGATAGCTCACTCCCATTCACAAATAAAACACCATTGCTGAAGAGAAATTATCCACACTTGCTTTCTCAGCGTTACAAATATTTACTTCAAATCAGCTTTTAGTGTTTACTATGAGTGGATGAGTATATCTTGAACAATTAAAGTTCAGCTCAATCCTATTATCAAGCCACATAAGGGGTTTAGAGGGTTTTAGACGGTGAACTACCTAAAGTGTAACCTTCTCTGTTGTGCTAAACACAGGAGAAATAACAGATGTGTAGCCAGGCCAATGATTCTGCATCAAAACTGACTTGTTTAAACATAGTTATGTTTTTTATGTATTCAGCCAAAATCAGCTCAGAGAGGCAATTGAACAGTTTACTGTGGCACTTCCAGCATCTTGCCTAAACAGTGAGGCTGATATCTTTGGCAAGTGCTGAAGCAGCAGCTGGTAGCCATGAATATTTTTGCTGCACAGAAAAGCAGCAAGCTGTTTCTCATGGTACTCAAAGCTGTAGGCTCCTGAGCAGTACCGTCAAGGTCTCTCATAGGAAAAGCATTCCTGCTTTTGTGCCCCTCACATGGCTGTCAGTGCCATCACAGCTTTGGCAATACACTGCTTCTGTCACCACACAATTGTGTGTTCATAGAAACAAAGGTCTTTATCATGTGATTGCTGTTAGTGCGTTGTATAGATTAAAATGGTTGCATTTTGTTTTTCACCCACTCATTAAAGCAACTCTTCAGTTTCTTTGTTTCTTTGCAGTTGAGAGAGATGAGTTTAGGAGGATGCAGATGAAAATAGTGCATGGAAAGAAATTTTCAATGAGGTCGCTTTGCTTGTTTCTTCCGATAAGGAGAAGGTTAAGGACAACTATTCAGGCTTGCTGACAAAATGGATCTCTAGTAAAAGGTAGAGATTCTCAAATATTCATTAGATGGCTTATATCAGGAATGTCATAATGTTTTTCAAATCCATTTTTTGCCATCCATTTTTCTCTTTTCTCACGCAATTCAATAGATTGGAAAAAAAATGTATTTGTTTATGGGAAGGCTTTTCTCTTCTCTTAAAAGCATTTAGACTGATACAAAGAACATAACAACATTAACACATCATTGTTCTAATCCTGATTTCGTTTTCAGTCTGCTTTGCCCTTATGTGAAATACTATGCTATGTTTAGGGCAATGGAAACTGGCTCCATTTGTGTGCTTCTAAAAAATCCTGTATGTGTTTGGAAGTTTGCCACCACTTAGTTGTCTCAGGGTGCTTAGAGTCATTTGTTCTGGAACAGCTGTGCCCAAACTCCAAAGGAGGGTTCCAAAGGGGATAAAGAGACCCATGAGTTGAGGGGGCTCTGCAAATGAAGTCAGTGAGACTTATGAGAATCAACAGCACACCTTGCTTCTTTGGATTTCATAAAAATATCACTGTTCCAATTGTGGTTCTGTCTTGTGATCTGCCCCTCAACTATGTTCTTTTTCCAGAAAAAGTAATTTGTGTGTTTGTAGGTATATTCTGACAAAATAACAATACGGGTATATTTGATTGATCTTTCACAAGTTGTCTATTTGTCACAACAAAGCTGAAAAGACATTGACGGAAAATGAAACAAAAAAAACTGTAGTCTGCTTGACCGTTCATGTAAAGTTTTCTAGATTAGAACTGGTAACACCACTCTTAGTTTAAAAGAAAAAAAAAGAAAAAAAAAAAGAAGAAAAAAATAGAGGTAGTTAAGAAACTCCTTCTGAGCCTCTTGCAGAGTGAGCAGCAGGAGAGATAGTTACAGGAATTTCAAAATGTTTAATAGTCAGTAACAGTGAAAAGAGTTGAAAGATACAGAAATCCTGTTTCACTGACAGGATCTGCCCTGTCGCAGCAAAAGCCTGCAGGGGACTGGTGATCCTGCACTAAGGTATTTGCAAACTCACTGGAATACTTTTTGATCCTGAAGCATGTAATTTATGAATATAACTTATTCGGTACCCATCTAACACATAAAATACATTATTTTAATGCTGAAGAGATAATTCATAAATTGAAATCAAGTGAATCTGAACAGTTAATGTATGGACTAATTGGAGAGAATGGATATATATAATATATATATATAATGAATATATGAATGAATATATATATATAATGAAGTTCTAAGGAGGTCACAGCTGGAATATTACAAGAAATACAGTGTTTCTCTTGTTTGTCTGAAAACCATTATTTAAAATCTTTTTTATTTAAATACGAGTCATGTGAGTCCAACCTTTGAGTTATTTCTTTATCTCTGCTTTGTTGGGTTCATGGGTTATACAAAACACAGCAGAGGAGAGCCATGAGACTATATGTTATAGACTATATTATAGCAGAGTGGTGTAATCACTATTCTCTCCAACACATTAGGTGTTGTTATCAAGTTTTGTGAGTAAAGGTGGTGGTTTTTTTTTTCTCTCCGAATCTCCCAAAACTTTTCACCTTAATTAGCAATAGCATAAGGTTCTTTGTAAAGTTTGAAAATATTTTATGATGTGGAAGTTCTGTGGTAAAAGACACACTTAATATTTCTAAAGAAAGTGATACAAAATTATTTCTACAGCTCAGAAAAATGTCTTTATTACAAAATAATTTTGCAACTGTTTCAGTAGGACTGGAAGTCACAGTATTTTCCCTTTAAGAGGCTGGATGGTGAGCTGTGGCTTGCAACTCACAGGCTAGCTGCTCTCAGCGTGTCTGATCCCCACCATGCACCAGAGCCCTGTAAGTGCTGACGTGGCAGTGTCCTGCCTACATAATTAGGAATTGTCCTCTTTCTTGTCCATGCTGTGATATGTTTTCCTACAGTCCCGTGTGAAACTGTAGGTGCTTTTTGTCTTTTGACTCCAAGCAAAAAAAGCTTTTTAATCGGAGCTCAGACTCCCACTGACCTCAGCAAATGCAAAGTGCATTATGTTATCAAATGAGAAAATTTCAAAAGAAAAATAATACAAAGAGATAATCTAGCTGTCAATGACCAACCCTACAGATTTCTTAAAGATGACCTTAGCTGCTCTCCACTCTCCATTTAACTTTCGAAGTAGAAGAAAACATGGCTAAATAGTCCCTGAGCTGTGCATGATGGTAACACTGCTTCACAAGCAGCAGCTCCCCAGTGAGCTGGCGCTAGTGCTGAGAATATTGTTCCACACAGTGTTATTTCTAGTCCTGATGTTTTGCTCCTTTTTTTTTTTTTTTTTTAAAGAGATTGATGAATAGAGACCCTGAATGAAGTGGTTTGGCATTTGTTTTCTGATGTGGCAAACAACAAACGTTGCTGTGTTCAAGGCCTCCTTAATCCTCAGCAGCATTAAACTAGCTATGTTCTGTCATTACGAAACACTGGAGATATTTTTTTTCATTAGCTGCAAAGTAGAATTTGACAAGAAAAGCTCTTGGAGAACAACAGACATTAAGAGACTCCTTATACATCTGAATAGGGCATTTATAGGTTATTTTTATTATCAGATTTTTGTCAGGGGGCAAAAAACTTACTTTTTAAAAACTCTTGGCACTGTTACTCTTGTGAGATTTGCCTTCAAGCTAGGCTAAATTCTTCACCACTAAATTCTTCATGCACTCATGCTGGGTGCTGCATGGCGTCTTACATTCAAAAGAGCAAAGACATCCTGTAGTACTGACTGTCTGAAGACGAGCATCCTGTTCAGCACTGCAGGACCCTACTTTGTCCTGCCCCATTTCCAGCTGCCACCAGGCAGGTGTCAACGGGTGAAGGGCTCTGAGAGAGCCTTCCTGTTCACCCGTTGTGTCCCACAGAGCTGCTCACATGAAATGCAGCTCTGGCCATGCACAGCTACTTCACTGTTGTAATCTGAGCACCCTGCATTTTCTGTTTAAGTTGTGATCCTATTGAACTAGCTTGTTTTTCCCTGTTTGCTGTGGCCTTATCACATGAAAAGAAGATTGTTTGAACTCTCAGTGATACATACATACAATAGAGTTATTTTCCTTCACTTTTTTTTTTTTTTTTTTTTTTGAGTGATGAATTAAGCATGTGCATTTGTGTGTCAAAATATGTATCTCAAGTTCTGTAAAGGTAAGAAAATGTAATGTATATATGCAGTAAAGCATCACAGTTTTGTGCTGATAGTGATTACTCACTATGGAGCCTGGACAGGAGAGGTATAGTAAATGGTGGCATTTATGGAGAAGCCATTTGTCCATTTGTGTCACTCAGTGCAACTGAAAACTCAGTGCAACTTCAGCTGCATCTGAAATCTGTTGCTCTTTGTTTGTAGACTGATTCTGGTATTTGAAACATTATGAGTACTGCACTGTTCAGGTGTCCATAATTTGAAACATAATCAATTATAACTGCTATAGGTATGGGCTTTTATAATTGTGAGGTTCTAATGACAGTTGCAAGGGAAAGCACCAGGAACTTTCAGCTATTCTTTATTTGTAGACATTTCTATACAGTCTTAAAATAGCAGTAATTGGTGCAGTAAAAATAGATACAGCACAATCTCTGCTGCTACAGAAAGCAACTATACAGATAGATAGGTAATGTTACGAATAAAAAAAATGAGATGTGGTACAAAAATGCAAGTCATGCTTTTAGATAGAAGATAGTTTGTTTCGCTACACTGGCTTCTAATGGCAATTTCTTCACAGGATGCTTTGGAAGTGATGGATTGAGGTGCACACATAATGACCTGCTCCAGTCAGAAACTGAGAGCCTCAGAAGGATTTGCCAACCAGATCTACAGAATGAGATGTGAGTATATACAAGAGCAGTGCTAGTACATTCTGCATGTCTGTCTTCCTGCCAAAACAAGTTAAAAAAAAGTCGACTGTGCATTTTGGGGGATTAATTATCTGAGATTTTTCTTTAATTTATTACCAACAAAAATAGTGTTCACTTTGTTTTATTTTACAGGAAAACCCACATAATCTTTAAAAGGCATAAATAAAATGAATTCCACATAGGCTGTGGGTCTCTGCAACAGCTGTTTGTGTGACACTATATCTTAACTGCATGTGTTTAATCTTTCTTTTTTCCTGAGCAGCTGTCTCAATCTATCAAAATATTTGTAAATGGATTCAGTTTCTGGTGAAATTTGCTTTCACTAGCACAACAGAGAGACAGGGAAGACTTATGCCCTGTGGGAAGGAAAAAAAAAAATTGTTTTCCATTCCAGCTTGAACAGATCAGTCCTAAGGCATTTGCCATGAAGCCTCTGTGAATCTAGTGTTCTCACTTAACAGCTATCTCATTTATTGGAGGTGGTGTTTCACTTCTTTAGATAGATTTTTCTGCAACTGAACAAGCATAAGCAAAATGGTAGATGATGGATGGTTGTCCATTTCCGTAGAAGGAGAAATTCACCTTGAAAAGAGGGATATTTGGTGTCTTATCCATTTTTAGCCCTGATTTGTTATGTCCTTATCTTATTTTCCTTCTTTGTGTGATGGGTTAATGCTCCATTCCTGCATTTTGGAAGCCCTCTGTAGTCTGAGGGTGCCTGCGGGTTGCTGACAACTTACTACTGTAATGAAACTGATAAGCTGGTAACAACTTCCTATCATTGTGTATGCCTAGCCTAGCCTCCTTGTAATTGACCCTGACAGTACAGGCAGGGGAGGAGAATCACCAAAGCTTCTTGGCCTTCCAAGTCCACTGCTGCCGTTCTTGTGAGATAGTGAAGATACCTGCGTTAAGCTCACTACATAGGAAGGAGTGATGCTAAGTCTTGATAAAATGGCAGTGAGGGCAGTTACTTCATTAGAAGGTATCTCTTAACTGCTCTCTAGAGCTATCCTGGAGGAAATTAATTCACTAACAGCACAAGACATGGGATCGTTGTAGGAATGAAAGCATGCAGGTCAGCATTGCCCACTAACATGCTCATGCAGGCTTGTCTCACAACTTCTACAACTCCAGTCTGGTCAAAACTGTGCACCTGAGGTTGTAGAAATCCACATGCTTTGATTGCACCCTGAATGAAGTAAGCCTTACAGCTCAAATCAATATATTGAACCTTAGCTCTGCCTATAAAACAGAAAATCCATACATCAAGTCTATTTTTAAGCCCTGAACTATTGCAACAAAAGTTAGTTTTGTGTGTTTGATAAAGCAAGGTGATTTCTGTGTGTGTGTGACTACCTGAGGTCTCACAGAAGGGCTTGCAGGGGGAGGAGATGGCTGGGTTAGTTGTATAGCTTCGTTGATGTTTCAGCCTGGGCTGAAGCTACTTTTGGGTTGACTGAAGCAAAGAATCATGGTTTTACATAGAGGCAGTACCAAGTGATGACTGCACTGTATGTTTACTCATTCTTCATCCTAAATTAGGATACAGGTAAGCCACAACTTTGTTACAGAGCAGAACAGTAGGCAGCCACCCTATCTTGGCTCTTTTGTGTCTGTGTCCCAGCTGGTACCACTGCTACTCTTGGTGCTCCCAGCTGTATCTTGAGGCAGGTGCTGGGGATGTAGTAAGACCAGCACTTGCAGTCACGTTAATTTAGTTTTGACCACTGATGTCAGAATTGCGTGCGGGGACTTCACTATAAATGAGTCAGACCAGTCATTATTTCACTTATGGGTCATCTGGCAATTTGGACCTCGGATTCATTGGTTAAGTGGCCAGATGTCCTGAAGTTGTTGTGTACAGCTGAACAATTTACTGTCCGCCACATAGAAATGGTAAAGGCCTCTCTGTTTATTAGGATAAAACCGCCAGTTTTATTGACTGGCTTTTTGCCTTGATCATATTTACAGTGTTACACTCGACCCATTTAATCATTTCAGTAGTGAGCTGTGGATACTCTGTGAAAGCAGTTCCAATTTCCAGCCTGAAGAATAGGTAGCTGTTTAATAGAAACGGAGGAATAATTATTTTTCATATTAAAATGTGAATATGTGACAGCTCACTGTAACAGCTGACAGCTCATTTTGCTGCAGGCAAAATACATCTTTGATAAAGTACATTGCCAAAATGAACACCGCACTATCAAATCGCTGCTTTTGTTCCTGTGTACAAGACATGGTTTTAGGTGATTGTACATAAAAGAATCCACTACAGATGCTAGAAACAGAAGCTAAATCAAAAAGCCATGAAGCCAGGAATCAGTCTGAATCCAATGAATCAAATAACTGATAAACGAGGTATCCCTATAGCCTGGCTGCCAGGCTGTTTCTCAGGCTGTGGTCTGTGGGACATCAGAAGGTCTTCTGTCAAAGCAGCTGGGAAAGAAAGGAAATCCATTTTAAGAAGAGCTGACACACATTCCTGCAAGTTGTGAGCAAAGTATGTGTGGGCGTGAAGTCAGCAGTGTATATTTGTATTTTAATTGGTTGCAAATAAATGTTTTGTTGGCAGCTCAACTGAAGATGATCTTGGGAAAAAAAAGATGTTCCCTTGCTCCAAAGGTGCAATTTAAAACAGCGTTCTAGGAAATGCAGCTGTACTCCTGTGAATGTGCTGTCTTGGTCCACTATGCCTGCCATCTCCCTGAGAAACTCAGCAGAGCTGCCGTGGGGCTGCTCGACGGCTTCCGTTGTTCACCTTAACGACTGCACTTACCCACACTCATATCAGAGCCTTTTTCCTTTATTGGTTTTATTCCTTTCCACTGATGTAAAGAAAGTCGAGTTTCTAGCACTGCCGTCCAGGAAAAGGTCCCGCAAATACCGCTCACCCACAAAAGGAGCAGGAGCTCTGCGGAGCGCACTGCCGGCTCGCCGCCTGCGGCCTGCCTTGCCCCTGGCCCGCGCTGTGGCTGCAGCTGCCGGCGCGGGGCAGCAGGTGGGGCTGGTGCTGCAGCAGCGAGGCGGGCTGCGCTCCGGCAGCGGGGCGAGGGAAGGATAGGCAGAACGCTCCCACCGACTGCTGCTCTCCGCTGGTGCGATTCGTGTAGTTTAGGGAAAGGAAAACGGTAAATGTCAAGAACTTCCACTGAGAAATGTGAAAAACACCAGTCCTGTGGTCACAGCAGTGTTTAGGGAGCTAAATTTCAGCAGGAGCCAGTCGTGGAGACTGGTTTTAATGTCCAGCCTGATCCCCTGGCTGAAAGAGATTTTATGGAAGCAGTGCAAACATTTGCTTGCTGAAGTTATGAAAACCTCTTCAAAGCTTCAGAGCACATGGTGATTTAAGAGCCTAACTGCCCTTTACCAGCTTAAAGTTTGATTTAGAGAGAGCTTTTTTATATGATTCATGAGAGAAAGCTCTATGTCCTTGGAATCTCACTGGCTGTGAGTGTTCCTGGGCTGTAGCAGTATGCTGGAAGGCCCGCAAATGACTCCATGCTCCCCTGCTTGGGAGAGTGCTGGAGAAGCGTGAATGCATGCATGATGGCAATGCTACAGGGGAATGTAATGGAAATAGTTTCAGATGAGCAGACAACCTTCAAGAGAAACGAGGTACTAGGACATATTTGGATACGTGGAAACTAAAGGGATGTTTAACAAACTGTATTTTTATTTTTTAGTTTTTAGTTTAGCAGACAAAAAGGCAGTGTGTTAACAAACTAAATGGGAGAGTATTAATGTATTTAATATAGCTTATTTCAGATTCTTTCTCCTGCACTGGAAATCCATCGTGATCCAATTGTATCAGTCCATTATCTCATTCTATCTATTAGCCTTGTGCAACCAAATCTTTAATAAATGTCAGCTGTTATACCTCAGCTGACTTCATCAAGCTGTGCCAACACATACCAGCTGTACACATTGGCATCCCTTTCCAGCCCTCCCAACTCTTCGACCTTTCCTGGGAAAGCCCTCCTTTGTTCAGCCAGTTTCTTGTCTTAAAGTACTGTGGCTTAATGTCCTTTTTGGTTTCATGAAGATATTTTTTCAGCTTAGGTGCTCAAGCATCTCTCTCTAATTCAATTCTCTTTAGGTGACCTAACAGGAGTACAACTGTTTGTAAATAAGCATCGTATCTAACTACTTTGTAGCATACAGCATGTGGCTGAAAAGGCTCATATAAAAATCAGAGAAAATTCAAAATGATCATCTTGTTATTTTTCATTCTGGCTTGGGTAAATACTTTTTTTAGCAGCCACAAACTTCTTTAAATATATTAGACCTCACAAATGGAAGCATAATATGTATTTCTACTTCTTTGCATATCAAAGGTGCTATATTTTTAAATATGAATAAAAATTCTCATAATTCAGCTACTTAAGCACTGATGTTAGTCTGGCTTTCAGAAGAACTTTGCTGCTGGTTGGACACCTCAGTGAGAAAACTACCAGTCCTTGAAAATGTGGATGAAAATGAGAGGCACTACTGCATTCTTCTTGCTGATCTAAGGATGCCACAATGGTATTTACTCTTTCAAAAATCTTGAACTAACTGGATTTGTAGTGGTTTCTATTTAAATGCCAATAGCTGCTGCTAAGTAAAAGAAAACACTGTAAACCAGTGTCTCTGGGGAACTGCACGGAATGAATGTGTTAACTGTCTAAGCTGCTATGTATTAGCACGAATTTGTGGGTTAAATCATTATTTGTAATTTGAGATATCCTGAAAACCTTCTGAAGAGAGACCACAAAGAAACGGCACAATTATTTTTGTTTTGCCTAATGAGCCTGGAAAAGTAGAAGGTCACCTCAGAGTAGAATTTTTCAAGGATACCAGTGTTTCTTCATCCTATCGTGAGTGCCTGATAAAATGGCTGGATCTCAAAATGTGTTTGCTTCACTAATTGAAGGTCGTATTAGCATGAATGGATGTAACCTTAGTCAGTGGCTACTCTTTCAATTCAG